TAAGATTTTTTTTTTTTTTTTTTTTTTTTTTCCCCAGAAAAAGCCGGCTATGAGTGAGTTCCTGGTTTGGACTTTGATTCTTATCTTGATAAGCGCTTACTGTTCGTTTTTTACTATGTATGTTAAGGAAATAAAGCCACTGTCATAGAAAATAAGTGTTTTGTTTTTCTTTCCAGTGGCATATCAGTGGACTAGAAAGTTACAAATGTAAAAGACTTAAAACGTTTGAAGGATTCCTAAGTAGTTACTTATGTTCCACAAGTTTAAGTTAAGGAGGTGATTTACCTTATTTACAGTTCTTATGATGACTTCAGGCATGGAATTGGCCATGTACGCGTGGTTTTCAGTCACTGGGATGCTAACCTGTTCTGTGCTTCTGAATCTTCCGGATCTTTTCTCGGGTTTGCCTCCTAACACCTGTAGATTTTTTATTTATTTATTTATCTTCTAAAGGGTAACATGACAAGGGTTACTCTGATTGCTTTTGTTTGATCTGTAGCTTTCTTGTTGATTTTATTAGAATAAAACCCTGCAATTTAAGGTGGTGCTCCCATGTGGATGAATGCTTTGTCTTTATTATGTGGTATAACACTGTTGGTTTTGAAAAATGTTGAGAAATTATACAAAGATAAAAATGTTAAACGTGTTTAACGGGAGGATATGCTTGATTCAAATTTAACTTCCCTGTGTTATCTTTGATAGTTGCGTTTCATTCTGCATGACAGCATAGTTTCACTTTTCAGCCTTCAGAAAAAGCCTTTCATTATTTGCTTAATTCTGGTTATTTATTTAACTGTATCAGTTAAATATTTTCACTGGCTTTTTTTGAAAGGAAGAAAGGTTTAAATGGGGGTGCCTAAAATCAAGCAAACCTCATTATGGGAAAATCCTGAATCTTAATATAAAATTTAAAACTTAACTCGTGAAGTTTTTCTTTTCTTTTATTGTCAGATGTAAATAAGTCTGACATATCTTGCTTTTCTGCTCTGTGGAATTCAATTTTATGTACACTGCTTTATAGAGGTATTTGGGATCGGGAGACTTTTGTAAATGCAGAACTGATAACATTTACTGCTTTCGAACCACAACGTGTGGCCTACATGGGTTTTTTTCCTCACTAGTAGTATGCTTGGTCCTGTCCTTGCAGAAGCTAAGAGTTTTGCAATTCGCTGGGTAAAAACTTGAACAGGTACTTAGGGGTTTTGGTGATCTGATTACCACATAAGTTGAAACAAGTCCTTGGAGAAGAGTGTGAAGAGAAATGTCAGCGTGTATGACCAGTGTTTCTTCAGTAATGCAGCTTTTTTCCCTCGATGCAGTCATCTATGCTATTGCTTTGAAAACCTGTTAGAGTAACTGTTGATGAGCTATATATGTGACTTGTATCTGATTACTTCCCACTCATACACTCTTCCCAAAAGGGGTTTGGGTAGGGTGAGTTGTTTCACAGATGTCGTAAGAACTCTACAAAAATACAGTCGAAGGCTCTGGGCTGTTGCTTTAGACCAGGCTTCCAAAACCAGAATGCTGGCAACTTGAAGAAAATACTGGCAGCAGAAATCGAGGAGGCCAGTATAAAACTGCTTCAGATCAACATAGAATTTTAGTCTTCCCTTTTCTGGAAGAGGATTGTGGATTGGCCTTCTTGATTATTGCAACAAAATGAAGTGTTTTGATTAGAAAAAGGATGGAAAGATGAACTTAATTTGCAAATGGGAGTGTTTTGTAATCATCAAAGCTCTATATGAAACTCTAATTTGAGATTTAAAGGGTATACCATAAAGCATTTTTTAAAGGTAGAAATCAAGCGTGTTTTTACTGCTTTTTAGATTGATTACAATAAGAATTACAATGATAGCAGTGTATGAGTTCTGCTGAGAGTATAGATCTCAGTCATTTTCTTCATGTCTTTTCTTTCAGAGTGAGACTGTAATTATGGAACAGAAATCCAGAAAATGACAGCAAAACATTAGTTGCCCTCTTCTAGGACAGTCATGTTGGAAGGATTGGTAGCCTGGGTCCTGAACACCTATTTGGGCAAATATGTCAATAACCTGAACACGGACCAACTTTCAGTTGCTCTTCTAAAGGGTGAGGCTTTGTGGTATTTTCTGTAGGGGTGTACTGTGATTTTACAAGAAAAAAAAAAGCCTTATGTTTTTGTAATGACTGGAAGGTGGAATAGAAACAATCACTTAAATGTGTTTAACCTTTATATAAATGCTTTTAATATTTGTGCTAGCATTTTACAATGAATAGTAAATTCTCTTGTGTTCCTATCCTTGTTCCTTCTTATCAACACTGTTAAATGAATATATATGCAACTTTCAAAAGTATGCTTAGCATATCTTATCAGCAAGTTTAATTTATATAATATTTGAGTGTAATTTTTCTTAATACTGTTCAGTAATTTTCCTACTGAGGGACTGTGGCAGGAAGTATTCTGTAGCCATTACCTCTTAGGTGTTGGTGCTGGTAGTTACATCCCTGTAATTAAGACCTGTAGTTTAGGTCATGTCTAATTTACCTTTTGCTGCTATTTGCTATTTTTAGAGAGAATACTTTGTAACACTTCAAAGCTTTTCTCTTCCTGCTTTTTGTAATATTGAGAAAATACTTAAAGTATCTCTTCTGAAAAGTCAGAGAGTAGAAGCTTTCTCCTTGGTTACAATAAAGTTCAGATCTAAAACCCTGCAGAAGATTTCTTCTGTATGACCTCATCAAATAGTTTGAGCACATGGCATTGGAAAATTAAGAAGTATATTAAATAACCATTGCAATTATTACACAACTTGAAAGCAGTAGGTTGGTTGTTTTCATGAAATCGTATTTGATTGGGTTTTTTTCTTTAAAAGATGATGCTAGTCATTTTCAACTTACAGTGTTCAACTTGGCATCCTTTATCATAATCTTGTTTAACAGACTTGTCTCTTTTTCCTCTTTGTATAGGTGCTGTTGAATTGGAAAACTTGCCCCTAAAGAAAGATGCCTTGAAGGAATTGGAATTACCATTTGAAGTAAAGGCAGGTTTGTATTTTGCTTGTGTGTGCAGGACAAATATTTATAAACAGGAAGTATTGCATATTTTAGAAGAACCTTTACCTGTGAGTCAGAAGCTTGAGCGAAGGAGGTAACCTGGTTTTCAGGTAATCCAGTTGTATTTTAGCTTGTTTGTTTCTACACTGCTTTTTTTTTTTTTTTTTTCAAGTTTTCCAAGGATGATGAAGTCTTTTCACAAGGAATCTCATGGAATCTCTGTTTTGTATATACAGGTTTCATTGGCAAAATAACACTACAGATACCTTTTTATCGCCCACATGTGGATCCATGGGTCATATCTGTCTCAAAACTGCACTTAATTGGTGCACCAGAAAAAAAAGAAGATTTTGATGAGGAAAGGGAGAAGTTGCAAGAAAGAGAATACAAGAAAGCCCTCCTTCTAGCTCTTGAAGAAAAATGGAAAGTGAGTCAGACTTGTCTTTCATGGTGAAGAAACCATTATGGTAGAGGGATTGCATTTAAGTCTCCTATGCATAGGAAACTAAATTAGAATTTGATTTGTATGTGCTAACATAGTGCAGTTTCTGTCCCACTCCACCCCCACCACGTCATGTGTCCCACATATGTTGGAGATGGTGAATTTGTTGTTTTTTTTTTTCTTTCTTCCTGTTCAGGGTAATTTCAGTGTAACAAGGTATATGTTTCCTGACCAGTTGTTACAGTGGTGATTAATTCTTATCCCTATTTTATCTTTTAGAAAGAGCGACAACAGAAAGGGGAATCTTACTGGTACTCAGTTACTGCATCTGTGGTCACAAGAATTGTAGAAAACATTGAAGTAAGCCTTTGTGTTGTAGAGCCTTTCCCACTTGTTAAGAATTATCTGTGCCCACTGTGCTTCACATTGTGTAGTCCTCAGAGAAGAAATATGTAAATCCAAGGTAGATGTTTGGCAGAGGACAGTCCCTTCTCAGACTGAACCTTCATAACTTCAGTCTTAAACTAGTCCCGATGGGGACATGTGGAGAGAAAAAATCTTCCATCTTGCTTTTACAAAGGGGAAAATTAACTTTTTGGTTGATAACAGTAGGTGGATAATGAATTTGCATGAAATTTGATGGGTTTTGCTCACATTTTAATTCTCCTAGTTATAAACCCATCGAAACACTGAATTGTTTATGAAGTAGAAGAGCATGTTTTGTTTCGATAAAAAGATGATTTGTAAAGAAACAAATCTCAGAGTTTCTGCTGATCTGTGATTTTGATTATTTGACTGTGTGTTGTCTCTCAAGTTCTTTAATTAGTCTTTTTCTACTATTAATAAAAATCTGCCATGTGTCTTCTAAGTATCAAAATGACTCCAGAGTATGGCTGTTATACTCTGTTGCTTTTTCTCTTTGAAAGTCCTCATGTAGTTCTTGACATTAGCAACATTTACATCATTAATCATTTGTGTTTAAGAACCAGAAGCTTCCTGTGTATTACTTGCTAAAGTTTATCTGCTTGCCTCCATGAAAGGACTATCCTTCTTTTTCCTTATGCCCAGGTAGACAGACTATGGTTTTTTGTTTGCATTTCAACTCACTAGAGACAGTTTAGAAACAAGATACCTCAGACTACTTGCTTTTCCTGATATGTTTGAGAAGAATGTGTTTGGTGCAGGAGTTCAAGGAGAGAGCAGCTATACTTTTCTCAGTCCTGGACTCTGCATTCTCTGAGAAACCACAGTAACTCAGTGCTCTCAAAAGCTTTTACCAATGTAAATTAGTTTGGGTCACCTTGCGTTATTATTAGTTTGTAATTCTGGCCTATGTTGGTGATTCTATTACATAAACCAAATTTGAGTCTTTGGTTGACAATTACACATTTGCCTTTAAAAAGAAGAATAACAGCAGATAGCAAAACGAAGTACACTGTCTTGTAAAAGGGGCTAAATGATTTGGGGCAGAAGAGCAGGGACTAGTGGTGTCTGAGAATACAGAATCAGAGAGTACAAAATCAGATTATGAGATCTAAGTAACTACCAGAGATTTGTTGGAGAGTTGCAGAAACTGAAT